TTTAAGTGTGTTTCTTATAAACAGCATATAACCAGATGTTGTAGTCTCTGTATTTAAATAGGAGAACTCAGCTAGTCACATTTAGTGTGGCTAAAGCTTAGTTTTGTTCCTTCTGTTTTTGTTATTATTTATGAGCAGTGATCTTGTTTTTCTTATTTTTGTTGGTTTAATTAAATTCATTTCAGTTTTTCCTTAGTTACTGTGGAAATTCTACTACACTTCTTATGCCATTCATAGTTTCTTTTCTTTTATCTGTGTTCATAACCTTACATTTCTATATTTTTACTTAAAAACGGGATATTAACAATTTCCCTCATCACCATATGCTCTAATTCCCTTCCCCAAGCCCTCTCCCTAGAAAGACAGCTCTTTAGAACACTTTCACTTCCCTTTACCCAGCTGGGGTGGGAGCTCTGCACCAGCTCTATTAACCAAGGCCCACCGGAGAACCTGACTCCTAGGGAATGCAGAGAGAGAGGAGAACTTATAGCGTAGGTGACAGACTTTTCCTTGCAGTATGTGTATTCTATTTCAAGACTCCTATTTACCATTTAGATCAGGGGTTGAAAAACTATAGCTAGAAGGCCAAATCCTGTCCACTATCTGTTTCTGTATGGCCTTTAGCTAAGAATAGATTTTATATTTTCCAGTGGGTTGAAAAATATCAAAAGAAGAAGACTTTTATGATGGGTGAAAACTATAGGAAATTCAAATGTCAGCATCTATAAGTAAAGTTTACTGGCACTCAGCCACACTGACTCCTTTCCATCTTGTTCACAGCATAGAGCTGAGCAGTTGCAACACAGACCTAGGAGGTGCCAGGTGCATGACAAATTGCAGTGACACAGGGAGAGCTCCACAGCATCGCATCCAACCACACGTCTTAGTTATTTACTTGTATTATCAGTGCACATCCACCACTGTATATTCAAAACAGAAAAAGTGGACTTTGAATGTCATACTTCTAAGGCTCTGTGGGGTGTGGATATTATTTAGTTGAATCACATGGCAAAGTGTTGTGTTTGTTACCAGCTCTGCTGACAGAATACAGTATACACTGACATCACATACAGTCCCAGCTCACAGAAAAACAATGGTCAGAAAAGTGAGAAAATTTCAAACAGTATAAGTCATCACAGCATAATTTCTTCACAAAAATAAAAAATGAGAATGAGGCTGCATCCAATGTCAGTTCCCAAGTGACTCATTTGTTGCTGAGCAAGGAAAGCCACTTCCAGTGGTGAGTTGATTATGTTGTATTTGATTGCAGCAGCTCAGAAAGAGATCCAGAGAAAACTAGGACAGGAAGAGGAAAGGCTGGAGGCCTGAAAGCTGGCCTCTGCAATGTGCCATGCACGGTCTTCAGCATTTCCCAGTTACCTCCCTCAATTATTTTCTTTCCAGAACTTACTATTACCTAAAAGTGCCCAATCTACTATTCTCTGCCAGTCCCCCTTGTGAAGACAAGAACATTGTCCATCTTGTATCCCCAGTGCCTGTCACACACAGGAGCTCAGTAAACATCTGACCATATCTATATATATAAAAGCCTAATATGCAAGTGTCCCCTTGGGAGTTCGATCACTTGCTATGACATGTGCTGACCACCAGGGGGCGGCGCAGAACGAAGGAAGGCCCCAGCCAGCAGCCAGCAGCCAGCAGCCAGAAGGCCCTGATTGGCCCTGATCGCTGGCAAGGCCTAGGGACCCTACCTGTGCACAAATTTTGTGCACTGGGCCTCTAGTCTATATATATAAAAGCCTAAACAACCATACAACTGGTTGACTGAATGACTGGTTGCTATGACATGCACTGACCACCAGGGGGCAGATGCTCAACGCAGGAGCTGCCCCCTGGTGGTCAGTGTGCTCTCATAGCCAACTTCCCGTGGTCCCTCCCCGCAGCCGGCCGCCCTGATTGGCCTTGATCGCAGGCCAGGCCGAGAGACCCCACCCATGCACGAATTCGTGCACTGGGCCTCTATTGAATGAATAATATATTTTAGGTGATAGGTTCAGAAGACCTATATACTTTAAGCCCTCCAGGTGGAAAGTGTTCATTCAACACATATCTATTGAGGGCTGGGCCTTCCTTCTCTATGAATGGAGGACCTCCCAGAAAGCTGACTGTGCCTGCAGAGCACACAATGAGCCTGCCCATTGTGCTCTGTCCTTATCGCAGGACAGAGTAAAGGCTGGGAGTTGGCTTGCCATGGTGGTGAAGATCCATCCTGGGAGATTGAATTTAACCTGTTCAAGATGCCTTGGCCTCTTTGAGACTTCTTTGAATGGAGGCATGCCCGGGATGCTAGGAGATAGCTGTGATGTGTCCAAGAAGTTTTGGAGGCAGCTAAGTACGGCCAGGGAAAGATCAGCATGGGGCTTTCCCTGCGCTGGACAACTACAACCATGGGCCAGACTGATTTTTAGCTCCCTCCCAAAACGTGCCACTTCCACCAGCCCTGGGTGGTTCTTGACAGGGGTCAGGGAACTGGTCCCTGTGCTTCAAAGAGGGATAATGATGTCCAGGGGTAAGGAGTGAAATACCATTTTGGCCCCAAGCTCTAGGAGTTATTATTATGATTCTAAGAGCTTAAAAATTAATAATCATGAAAACAGCAAGCACAGAGTTAGGAGCCAAGTACTAATCTCGGGCCCTCACGTGTATTCCCCCATCTCGTCTCCCTCTGACCTCACAGGGCAGCACTGCAACATACCTGAGGTGCAGGGAAGTCTCATAACCATCCCATTTCTACCTCAGGAGGTGTTGAGGGTGGAACTGACCCAAGGCCTGCCAGGCCTTCGTCCTACACATCTGACCAGTCTCCCACATGGCCCAGACTGTGGCTGACCAAGCGATCTGAAAATCTCTGGGCACTCTGGCTCTTGCTTAAAGCAAACAGGGCCACCCCTCACAAACAGTCCAGCCTTCTGGCTGCATCTGCACTAGAACTCTTACATGTGATGCCCTGTGCTATGGTGGCTCCTTCAATCCAACCCTATGAGGTTGTAGTTTGCCCTGAATGAATGAGGATGCTGAAATAAAATGGCTGTCCTTGGTATGCTGATGCCCAAGTTCAGTGCCTTACCAACCTTACCAGGAAGGAAAGTCTCCCACCAAGGACACTCCAGCTTGATTCATTTTAGCAATGTGTTACTTGCTCCTCACAAACCCAGGCTCCTGTCTTCAAAGGAGGTGACTGCTGCCCCACCACTGATAGGCTTGTGTGTGGGCAATTAGATCCATGAATACACCAAGTGGGGCATTACTCCACGGTAGATATTTCACCACAAAATAATTATACTCCATAATGCTGCTAACAAATCAAGCTAGACAAATGAGTGATGTGTGCCTTATCACCTTCATCGTCAACAGTCTTTTGGGGCTGGCCTAGGGCTGACGGGGCCCTGGAACAGGCCCCCATTGTCAGCCTTCAACACTTTCCAGTGACCTTAGGAGCTTAGCATATGCCACTGCTCTGCAGATGAGAAAACCAACATTCACAGAGGACAGTCCCCTGCCCAGAGAACAGCAGAGGTGGGATGTAGACCCAGCTCCAGGGCCCACACACCGAGTGACCGAACTGTGCTTGGCTGAGTTGGAGGGCTGTGTTCATCGATTTAGGAATCCTGAGTTTCAGATCTGTGAGCGGGTAAGGAAAGGGCTGCTCTCATTTCCCCACTGGAGGGCAGATTAGGAGTAGGAGTAGGAGAAGAGGGACAGGTCCTGAGTACCTAGGAAGCATTGCGAGATGAGGAGGGGAGGGGAAGGGTCTGCAATGACAGAAAGTTCCAGAGGAGAAAACCTGGGTATCTGGAAGAAGAAAGGGAGACGGGAGGGTGGTAGGCAATGGGAACTCCAACACTGTCTAATGCACAAGGCTCCGGGAGCCTTCTCCTGAGCACCTGCTCAGTATAGGTCTGACACTGTCTGAGGAGCAGAACTCTAAGGCCTGCTGAGAGCCTCAGGGCACATCCCACCAGGAGCCTGAGTTCCCTAACACTGGGGTTGCAGCACTGCCATGCTCAGTCAGTTACAGCCAAGTCCCAGCCCTCCTCCTACCTTTCCCTCCCCTAATGACCATCCCTTACCTGCATAAACCCACATCCAGGCAGCCAGCTCCAGAGACAGTGAGATTTGCACATTTGTCCACCCATTCATTTGAGGACCAGTAGGTATGGATTCCTACTCAGACCTATATGGATGGATGTTGAGGGTGGGCAGGTCCACCCAAGGGAAGAAGAGGGTTCCAGGACTTTGGGGCCCTGTGTAGGCTCTCTCAGGCCATCATACCCATCCACCCTAATGATAGGCCTATAAACTAGACTGGCTTACTCACACATTTAAAAACTGCCTCCAGTGATATCAGATACCCCAGAAAGCCAGCAACCTGGACCCTCCCTTTCTGTCATCTTCCTGTACCTTCCCGCCTCTTGCTCTCTGGAACCCCCTGCTACCATTAGCCCCTACTCCCCCACCCTACAGACTTGACCCAGTATGGCCTGCAAGACCAGTCATATACTTCCTCCCCTTGACATAACTGGCTTGGGGCAGACACAGCAGCCACCCTGCCTGATGAAAGCTCAGGCTACCCCTTCCCCCCGCCCCCTGGCCCTGAGAGTCAGGGCCTGGCATCAGGGTGATAGGGCAGGGCCCAGCCTCCCCTCCAAGGCTCAGGAAGGCCACTGATACCAGTGATTGCTGGCCTAGGTGAAACGCTGCTGCCTGAAACTGGCTGTGTGAGAGCCAGGCCTGCTCTCCCTGTGTGGGCGCCTTTACTCCCTGAGGGCTCCCTGCCTGGGTGTAGGCCCTGGCACAGTGACTAACGAAAGAACTTGGGCCACTTGACCCCTGAAGGCCTCAGTTTCCTTGCCTAAAAACTACAGAAGTTGAGATCAGGTCTCTGATGCCTTCCTGGCTCTCATCTCAGATGCCAAACTGTGCCCATCCCAGCCACCAGAGCCCGGCAGAAGGGCAATGGGCAGGGAGGAGCTGCTTACCCGCTCCACAAAGCCGTGCTTGTGCTTCAATTTGTACACTCTCAGCTTGGGCAGGAGACTCTCAGTGTAGTTCTTGTCCTCCAGCCCATGCAGCAGGATGCCATGGAAGGCCAGCCGGCACATGTTGGAGTGAATGTCCGCATTTAGCCTGAAGCCAATCACCAGGCACAGCCGAGGGCAGGTGATAGGCTTTTCAAACTCCACGAGGGCCCACTGCTGTCGGGGACAGAGGCCTTCTGTGGCCTGGCCTGCCTTCTCGGTAGCCTGGTCACTGCCTGTTGACCCTGGCTCAAGATCCTTACAGAGGTACTGTTCCTGGAATAGGTATTCTCGGGAGAAATCGAAGGTGTTCAGCACAGGCTCGTGGTCAAAGTTGTCTGGGGCAGGGCTGAAAAACATCAACCGGCCCATAACCGTCTCGTGGCCCAGTGTGATGTGGAACTTGGCCTTGGTCTGCAGGGGTCCCCGGAAATATGGGATCTTCTCCACGGAGATGATGGCCGCGTGGACAGTGTGCAGGGACTCAGGGGCACACACCAGGCCACGCTCTAGCAGCTTGGGATCAAACTGAGTGACACAGATGCCCAGCCGGTCTCCCTGCATGGCCGAGGTGACAGGCATGTGGAACATCTGCATGGACTTCACCTTCTTCACCACCTAGTCAGGAGCAAGAGACAAAAGCTCATGAGACCCACAAGCCTGGAGGTTGAGGTGAGGGGCGCCAGCTGAAGAAATCCCTGTCCCAGTGCCGCCAACACTCACCTGGCACCTGGTGTGCCAGCCAAAGGGAGCTCTGGGGCCGGCCAGACTCCTCTTGGACAGAGAAGGCTCCACCCTACAAATACAGGCCTAGGTCCACAGGGCACCTAGTCCAGGATGTGGGCAGTGGTCACAGCAACCAAATCCTGCACTACCTTAGTTTCCTCCAACCTTCTAGTCCCTGCTCTACCCCAAGCCCCATTCCCACACTTTTTTGCCTTAAGCCCTCTTATATAGGCTTGCCACCCCATGCAGAATAGTCCCCCCATTTCCTCAGCCTGCCAAGTTATGCTCATCTGTCCTTGAAAGCCAAGACCAAACACCACTGCTCTGGGATATCTGCCCAGACTCCAGTGGGTAGGATCTGTCTTTCTCCGTGGTGCCACCTCAGCCCCTCTGAATCACACTCAGCCTGCTGTGCTATCACTGCTTAATTTGTGCCTGCCTGCCTCCTAGTCTGTGGGCTTCTCCTGGGCAGGGCCACGGTTCATTCATCAACACATAGACCCTGGCTATGTGCCAGGCACTGTTCTAAGGGTAGGAATAGAATGAAGTCTGTTTCTAAAGAAGTTAGTATCTAGAAAAAAAATTACAAATATAGTAATATATTAATATTAACTAAATTATATTAATACAAATAAAATACAAAATTTTATGTTTAAGTATATATAACTAATATACTAATATAATATGCGTATTATATAAGTATATATAACTAATATACTTATATAATACGCATATTATATATAACATGTTATAGAGAAGGCCTGGGGTTGAGGGAGGGTCTGGCTTTTTAATTTTAATATATTTTTTTACAGAGAGGAAGGGAGAGGGATAGAGAGTTAGAAACATCGATCAGCTGCCTCCTGCACACCCCCTACTGGGGATGTGCCCGCAACCAAGGTACATGCCCTTGACCGGAATCGAACCTGGGACTCTTCAGTCTGCAGGTTGATGCTCTATCCACTGAGCCAAACCAGTTAGGGCGGGCCCGGCTTTTTAAGATCAGTGGTCAGGAAAGACCTCTGTAGAGGCGATGTCTGAACCAAGACCTGATCAGAGGAAGAAGCTGTGTGAAGGTCCAGAAAAAGTTCTAAACAGGGGAACCAATGAGTGCAAAGGCCTGAAAGAGGCTTGTTCAATTTGAGAAATAAACAAAGAGGTGGGAGGGCTTCAGCAGGGAGGGCGGGGAGGGGAGGGCAGGCAGGCGGAAATCACCCAGGAGTTTAGGCAAACTTGATTTTATCTCTGCTTCTAAACCATTACACTGACTCTGTACCAGGCAGATTTCTGCACCCACAGTTTGTAAATCAGGAACAGACATGGGATAGGCTCTAACAAATGGTCACAAAATAAATGAATGCTCCTATAAAGATCCACTGTCTCGGAGGTGAGATGAAATCATGTTCATGGATTTCTGCTTAACAAAGCAGAGAAATGTATATTTCAGAAAACCTACCATCAAAAACTGTTAAACTAAAGACAACTTTGACCTTTAGGTCACAAACATCCCTGTCTACAAAGTGGGGTGTGGGGCACACTCATTTTCTCCCTGGATAAAGGGAGAATGCTATGCTGACATCAGGCCCAGGTCCCTTCCTGGAGAGCCATAATACTCAAGTGTTTGTTTAAAGATCATTAACTACCTACCCAAGAGGTCAGGGGGCAGAGAAAGTGAGAAGCACAGTGTCAAAAGCCACAGCCAAGATCAATCAAAGAGAAACATAAAACATCTCTGAAATGATCTGTAAGGGCAATGGGAAACTTAGATTTTTAGGAATGCATCTCAAAGTAACTGGAGAATTTGAATATTATCTTACACTAAGTGTCTGCTCAGTGAGGTAGAAACCCAAATCACAATTCTTCTCCTAAGAACTGCAACAGCCCAGTGTGATGTTCTCTGGCCTGAAACCCTGCTCTCCCTCCTCCCAGCCAGCTTTCTAAAACACAGGTCTGATGATGCAATCCTTTGGCACCAACATGTACATGGGCTCCTATCTCTACATCATGACTTTCTAATCTTTTGGGTGAAACTGTTATTAACAGGAAAATGCTTTGGTCAACTGAACTTCTATGGGGAACCAGTCCCTCCCCGTGAGAGACATGCTCAGGGTAGGTGGGGGCTGCCATGGCTCCCAGCACCTTCTCTGCTTGCTGGACTCCTCTGCCTTCACTGAAGCCTCCCACCATCAGGCCCATCTTACAGCTCTTCCTGACCCATGTTCTCCCAACCCTTTAACCACAGCCAATGGAAGCTTTCATGATTCATTACACACCCTGTAGTTCTGTATGTCTCTGCCCTGGGTCCATGAGGTTCCTTCTCCCTGGGACTTCTTTCACCTGGCAAATTCTCATTTATCCCTAAAATCCCAGCTCTCAGGGTACCTTCTGGGAGGGACTCCTCTGGACAGAGCTGCTTACTATCCTCTGTGACTCTGAACCTGACTTGTCATTGCTGGTTGACGGCCCTGTCAGTCCCACCTCTATGTGCTAAATGATTTAAATGACAATATAATAAACTAGATGCCCAGTGCACAAAATTCCTCACCCCAGCTTGTACCCTCTCGCAGTCCAGGAGCCCTCAGAGGATGTCCGACTGATGGCTTAGGCCCGTTCCCCGTGGGTAGCGGGCCTAAGCTGGTGGTTGGACATCCTTAGCACTGCCGCGGAGGCGGGAGAGGCTCCAGCCACCGCTGCTGAGCTCGCCAGCCGTGAGCCCAGCTCAGGGCTTCTGGCTGAGCAGCGCTCCCCTATGGGAGTGCACTGACCACCAGTCTCCTATAGATGGTCACTTCTAAATCTTTAAGACAGGGGCCATGGTCTACCTACTGCTGCATCCTCAGTGCCAAGCACAGGAGGCTGCTGAAAAACCCAGTACCTCTGAAGAGAATGCTTGCCCCTGATTCTGGAAGAGAAATGCCCTTCGTGGCAAAAACACACCTGGCAGAGCACAGAGCTGAGATTCCAGCCCTGCAGGGGCCTGAGAGACCCTTGTGTTTAAGAGCCTTCCTGTGAGAGAGGGCAGCCAGAGCCTTTACCAACAGCCCCACCCCCACCATCGAGCTGACTGCCTAGCAGGCTTTATTCAAAGCATGTTCTCTTTTCAACAGGGCTCGTGTTCTTAGGATTAAAATAATAAAGAATGCCTTAAGAGGGCACCGTGAAGAGCAGAAAGACTAATAACTGTGTAAATCAAGATTTTAAGGGCCTCGACAGGAAATTGTGAAACAGATAAAGATAGGGACAGGGTAGTGCGACACTACTGTGGGCTCTCACAGGGTGCATGCAGACAGCATTGCCACATGGAGCATTGGCAAGTCCTCATTTCACCAAGACACATTTCAAGAATATAAAATTCCATTTAGGACACCAAAAATAGAGAAAAGTAGGTAGTTTTTCAGTCATTTATTTTCTACCCATCTTTTTAACAACTCACTCACCCAATATAGGGGTAGGCAAAAGTATGTTTACAGTTGTAATACAAATAATACAATAATAAATAAATAAGAATAAGTGGTGTTTCACACACTCACAACTGTAAACCTACTTTTGCTCCCCCTATATCTACTAATATCCATGTCAAGAGGCTGAGGCACTGTATATGCACTCATTCAACCCATACCTATTAAGTTTCTCTCACGCATCTCAATGATACAGGGGTAAGTAGAACAGAAACAGTTTCAGTCCTATGCTTGTGGGGGGCGGTGGTGGTAGTGCATGAATTAAATAATCAACTAATAAATTCAGGATTACAAAACTATGGGAGGTACTATTAGACAAAATAACTGGAGTACCTAATTCCTCCGGGGTGGTCAGGGAGGGCTTCCGTGAGATGGTGGCACTGAAATTGACCAGTTGGATGAGAAGGAACCACCCACAGGGACTCCAGGCAGAGGAAAGGGCAGGGTGGAGATGGGAAAGAATGTAGTTTGTTTAAGGGACTGAAAGACAATGAGGCTGGCTGAGGGGAGTGGAGTCAGGCTGGAGACACAGACCAGCCACCTTCACTATGTGAAGAATAACAGAAAGCCACTGGTGGTAATGAGTTGAGCAAAGGAACGACACCTTTAAATGTGCACTTTTAAAAAACCACTTTGGCTACACGGTGTGCAGAATAGATTAGGAGAAGTGGAGAAATATGAAAGGAAAGAAGGAGACTAGCAAGGAAGAGACTCAGAGGATTCTTTCTGCAGTAAAAGGATGGGATGGTGTAACAGACTGGATGTGGACTGAGGAGAGATTGGCACATACAGAAGAACTCCCAGACTTCCAGTCTGAGGGCCCACCTTACACTAACTGGGAGAGAATACGGACGAGGTTTTGGAGGGGCAGCTGTGAGTTCTGTGATCAGATGTCTCAGAAACAGCACAAGAAAAGGACCTGGCAGCTCCAGGAGAGGTGAAGTTCGGGAGCTGGGAGAAGACACACCTAACAGTCTCCTGGCATTTGCACTTGGATGTCTGGCGGCATCTCCACCTCATTATGTCTAAGACCTATCTCCTTCAGTCCAATTGTTCTCAGAAATGGCAGTTCCACGTTTTCAGACACTTGGGAGAAATGTGGTTCCATTTTGGCTCTCCTCGGCTCTCTTGTACCCAAATCCAGTCATCAGGTGATGTAATGGGCTTTATCTTCAAAACAGGTCCCAGCTCTTCCCACTACATCCACTGCCTACCCTGGTCACTGACCCATTGGGCTTTGTTATGTCCTTCCCCCTGCAATCCATTCTCCACAGCGTAACTTAAATGTAAGATGATATGACACTGGAGTTTTTCCTCCAAGCTCTCTACCAGCTTATCATCTTGCTCCTAAAAAGCTAACGTCCTTACTATGACAAGGCCCTGAAATCAGCCCATTATTCCCTTGACTTTATTTGCTGTGATTCCCCTGCCCCCCAA